TTGGAACTCTTCACAGCAACTAAAGAAAACCTGCCACTGGGCAGGATGTCTGACTGGCAAAGCACCATTTCTTAGCAGTTTGATACGGTGCTTGTCTCTTGAAAGAATGGAGAGAGAGAGATCAGCTTGCACATCCCTGGTGGTCTAGTGGTCAGGATTCGGCGCTCTCAGCGCCGCGACCCAGGTTCGATTCCCGGTCAGGGAATTCTTTTGCAAAATGGAAAGAGGGTCATTCCAGATGAACTTCAATTATACCACCAGCACTGAACCCCTTCCAGGAACTCAGACCCTGAAGCCTCATTTATTTTGGTCCCGCAGTTGTGGTGCCAGGAACTCAGACCCTGAAGCCTCATTTATTTTGGTCCCGCAGTTGTGGTGCCAGGAACTCAGACCCTGAAGCCTCATTTATTTTGGTCCCACAGTTGTGGTGCCAGTCATGGACTACCTCGGAAGGTGGTCAATTCTCCTTTGTTGCAGGTTTTTTGAAGCAAGGTTGGAGAGCCACCTGTCAGGGGTTCTTTAGCCGTACTTCCTGCACTGAAGAGAGTTGGACTAGGTCAGTGGTGGCCAAACCTGGCCTCCAGCTGTTTTGGGACTACAATGCCCATCATCCCTGACCACTGGTTCTGTTTCCTAGGGATGATGGGAGTTGTAGTCCCAAAACAGCTGGAGGGTCAAGTTTGGCCACCACTGGACTAGGTGATCCTTAGGGATCCTTTCAACTCTACGATTCTATGTGTCTATGGACATTCATTCTGATTCGTTTGTGGAGAGCTTAGATGGCATTGCTTCAAGCAAATGGCTATTCTACACTAGTCAGGGCATTTTCCTGATGCTGTCCTTATTTGCAAAACTAAAAATAAAAAAATCCAGCTTGGGGGAAGGGGTTTTTTGTGCAATAGATCCATTTCAACTACAATTGCTCACCCTGAATTTGGTATCCTGGCAAATTGGCCCTGCCTATAGCCAAGAGAAGGTGCCATCCTCCTCTTTTTTGCCCAAGAAGAGTCAAATGTGGGGGATGCCATCCACACCCGACCATTTATCAGTGGTTATTTTGTCTGCTAGACCTAGAACAGGCTTCCTAACCTCGGCCCTCCAGATGCTTTGAGACTACAGTTCCCATAATCCCTGACCACTGGTCCTGCTATCTAGGGATCATGGGAGTTGTAGGCCAAAAACATCTGGAGGAGTTCACAGGGTTGTTTGTGAGGATTAAATGTGTAGGAGGAAGATGCACACCATCTTGTCCTCCTTGGGGAAAGAAGATGGATATTAAATGTAAGAAATAACGAAATAAATATTGCTTAGAATTTAGCAGTCTCACTGCTGTGTCCCAGGTCTAATTAATGTATGAATGGGTTACGACCATAGAGTAAGCTGTCCTGCCAGGCCTAGCTCACCTTGGGAGGAACTAGGTAACCAAGCTTTTGTTTCTCTTCAGTCTACCTGATGAACTCAGCATGTGAAGAGGCTAAGCTGGTTGCTCCCCCTTAGCTGCATGGCTCTCACAAGCCATTCTTGTGTTAAAAAGGTAAAGGTACCCCTGCCCGTACGGGCCAGTCTTGACAGACTCTAGGGTTGTGCGCCCATCTCACTCAAGAGGCCGGGGGCCAGCGCTGTCCGGAGTCACTTCCGGGTCACGTGGCCAGTGTGACATCGCTGCTCTGGTGAGCCAGAGCCGCACACGGAAACGCCGTTTACCTTCCCGCTTGTAAGTGGTCCCTATTTATCTACTTGCACCCGGGGGTGCTTTCAAACTGCTAGGTTGGCAGGCGCTGGAACCGAATGACGGGAGTGCACCCCGCCGCGGGGATTCGAACCGCAACCTTTCGATCGGCAAGCCCTAGGCACTGAGGCTTTTACCCACAGCGCCACCCGCGTCCCATTCTTGTGTTACTATACCAATAATTTAGGAACTTTTACCACTTTCTAAAACAGGTTTGGCTGCCTGTGTGACTTTTCAAACTGCTGCATTAGTGGCACCGAAGTTACCTCCCTGGGGCTTTAAATGCCACCCTGAATTGGGCCCATAATCAATTGAAAGCCAGTGCTGATCTCTGAGATTGTTACCTGAGGGGGTGCTAACATGAGAAGAGGCTTTTTTTGGTGTTGGCCTCGCCACTTGTGAAATGGTCCCCCTCTCCACCACCAAGGTATGCCTGGCACCCTCTATTTTGAAAGGTTTCAGGCATTTGGAGCTTATTTTAGCTGGGTGGGATCTGTAAGACTCACCTTTTGTCTCCCGTGTGTGGTCCCCCGTCCCCCCCACTTTTACTGGTCATGTTTCTTTCAATTGGTTTTAATGTATGTTGCTTTGGGTCACTTTTGTGAGGAAAGCAAATAATCATCATCATAATCTGGAAGATATGCGGTCAGAAAGGGCTACCTTAAAAGGTCGGCCAGGGTTCTCCTTTCCTGGATGGGAATTATGGTATGGTAGCTGACTAGTAGCTCAGTTTAAAATGCCTACAACTTTGCTCACCTATTTATAGGAGTCCCATCAAAATAAGTCTAAGTCATTGGTATTTAAAAGGGGGGAAAACTTTTAATGGAGTTTATATTTCCTTGGATACGTATTTTAAATCTATTTAATCACTATGCTAATTGTTAAATTCCACTTTGACCGTTTTAATATTTATGTAAAAATTATGCTTAAATTCTGGTTTTACTATGCTGGCCGTTTAGCCGCAGTAAGAAACATTCATTCGTAAGTGAACGCTTGAGATCTGGGAATTCCTGTCCACGTACCGATTCTCTCTTTCAACGAAGGACCAATGACTGAAGTTTGGCGCCCAGGTACCTGAATGAAAGGAAACGGAGCGTCTCCCTCTTAAGACTGAGATGATGGAGAGACGCTGGTAACGGGGGAAGGAACGGAACCTCGAAGGGCTCGTAAACCGCTTTCCCCTCTCGGTGCTCCAAGGGTTAAAGGCAATGACGTCATTCTTCGCCTCCCTCCCCCGCCCAGGAATTCCGAAGTGGGAGGAGGCTTCCTTATCTCTTCGCGGGAAATCTGCCACGTGGGGTTCCTTGGCAGAGAGGAACAGCCAAGGGGCAGCATTGGAGGCGACAGGGCGGGGAGGGGCATTTGGGTGAGGAGGAAGAGAGGAAGGAAAGGGCAACGCCTTTGCTTTTTTTGGTGTGTGTGTGTGGGGGGGGGGAGAACAGGGCGCCCACCCAGCTGCTTTCTCTTTTTTTATAAACATATTTATTTGGGTTTTTCAAATTAAAATTTTACAGTAACATATCAGGATACAATACAAAGGTCCGCATGGTTAAAGCTACGGTTTTCCCAGTAGTGATGTATGGAAGTGAGAGCTGGACCATAAAGAAGGCTGATCGCCGAAGAATGGATGCTTTTGAATTACGGTGCTGGAGGAGACTCTGGAGAGTCCCATGGACTGCAAGAAGATCAAACCTCTCCATTCTTAAGGAGATCAGCCCTGAGTGCTCACTGGAAGGACAGATCGTGAAGCTGAGGCTCCAATACTTTGGCCACCTCATGAGAAGAGAAGACTCCCTGGAAAAGACCCTGATGTTGGGAAAGATGGAGGGCACAAGGAGAAGGGGATGACAGAGGACAAGATGGTTGGACAGTGTTCTCGAAGCTACCAGCATGAGTTTGACCAAACTGCGGGAGGCAGTGGAAGACAGGAGTGCCTGGCGTGTCCTGGTCCACGGGGTCACGAAGAGTCGGACATGACTAAACGACTAAACAACAACAACATCAGCATACAATATAGAAACAAGATTCCACAGAATCTCCTGGACTTTCCTCTTCCCCTTTTTTGGGTCCTATTGTTAGCCCTTTCCTCCTGCATCTTTTGTAATAATCAAAATCTTTTGCATCTCCGTTGTATCCAAAATTCACCATTAAACTACAAGTGTTATTCCAATCCCACCACCCAGCTGCTTTCTCAGTGCAAGACAAGGGCTGCTTTCCTTAATCCGGTTTCCTGGATTCGCCTGCATTTGGCGCACCCCTTGGGCTCCAATTCAGTCGCTGTGAGATTTTTGGGGAGGCGAGGGTGAAGCTTTGCTTCTTAGAGGAGGGGGGAGAACTTCTATGTGAGGGATAAAAAGAGGCTCTTTCCTCCTCCTCCAAGCCAGGAAGGCTCCGCTCTCTGCACTGCTGTACCTTTTTTTTCCTTTTCTTTCCAAAGCCGGAGGAGAGCAGGTTGATCCAAACGTATCTAGATGCAAAATAGAAAACAAGTTTACATTGTGCCCAGTAGTGTGGTGGTAACTTCAGAAGGAGTTATTTCATGATTGTCACAGACAAACACAAACAAACAAACAAACAAACAAACAAACAAACAAACAAACACACACTCTCCCCAGCCACACATCCCTGACCATAGCTGTCAACTTTTCCCTTTTCTTGCGAGGAATCCTATTCAGAATAAGGGAATTCCCCTTAAAAAAAGGGAAACGTCGACAGCTATGTCCCTGACCCAACCACAAAACTGGGCCTGTGGTTTTGTGATTGAGTCCGTTGACAGGTCTCTTCCCTCTCTTCCCCCTACCTCTGTTCGTTCACAGGGCTTACAAGCTGTTGACAGTGGAACAGAGACTCCCTCATTTGAGGTTTTATGGCCATCTGTCATGGATGCTTCAGCTGAGATTTCTGCATTGCAGGGGGTTGGACTAGATGACCCCGGATCCCTTCCCAACTCTACAATTCTATGATTCTGTGGATGCTGCTTTTCAAAAGACAAGGGTAAGAGCGCCTTTTTTCTTTTCGGCCACCCAGTGGCGTAGCGTGGGTTGTCAGCACCCGGGGCAAGGCAAGTAATTTGCGCCCCCTAACCCGTGGATTTGCGCCCCCTAACCTGTGGATTTGCGCCCCCTAACCTGTGGATTTGCCCTAACCCCAGATGTTGCGCCCGGTGCGGCTGGCCCCCCCTGCACCCCCCACGCTACGCCACTGCGGCCACCCACTCGATTCTCTAAGGGTTAAATGAGCTGAGCTCTGTTTCATAGAGCGGCAGGAAATGGTCTAATGGGGGGAGAAATAGAGGGGGGCGCTTCCTTTTTGTCTTCCAACAAGAGAGAGGCTGGCAGACAGACTGAGCGGTTGCTCTGCGAGGTGGGTGCGCATACAGGGCGGGGAAACGCCGTTATTATTATTATTATTATTTAGACAACGTATTGTAATTGTTGTTATTTATTAATACCCCGCCTTTTCCCCTGACAGGTACTCAGGTGCAACACTGGAAGAGAGGTAGGAACCAAGAATTGAGTGGGGGGGGGAGGGGAAGAGGCAGAAGAGAGAAAGACCCTTGCCCCAATTTCCTCTGGGAATTGCATGTAGGGCAGGCATCCCCAAACTCGTCCCTCCAGCTGTTTTGGGACTACAACTCCCATCACCCCTAGCTAACAGGCCCAGTGGTCAGGGATGCATAGCTGTCAACTTTCAGATTTGAAAATAAGGGATCAGCAGCCTCGAAAATAAAGGATCAGCAGCCTCACCTGTCCCAGGGACAGTCTACGGGATATCTATCAATACGGGATAGCAGCAGGAAGCAGCGGGAAACGGCGCCTGAATAAGGGAATTTCCCGCAAAAAAAAAGGGAAGGTTGACAGCTATGCAGGGATGATGGGAATTGTAGTCCCAAAACAGCTGGAGGGCCAAGTTTGGGGCTGCCTGATGTAGGGCTTCTGTCGGCAGGGTTTGTTTATTTAGTTTGCTGTTTCATTGCATTTGCACCGCTCCTTCCCTGCCCTTCCTCAAGGTGGATTCCCTGGTTCTCTCTCCCCCCCCCAACTCCCCATTTCAGCCTCACAACAACCCTGTGAGGTGGGTTAGGCTGCGAGAAGACGGCAGAAGGCCCAAGGTCAAGCCCAGTGAGAGCTTCATGGCATCCCAGTCCCTAGTTCAACAGTCTCTAACCACTTCACCACCACTGGCTCTTGGAGGTGGACCAAAGAGGGTCTCCTCTGAACACCCGGTTGGGGTTCAAACCCCCTCCCTGCCCAGGACATGGGGAGGGGGAGCTGCAGAAGAGAAAAGAGGCTCAGTCCTGGGGCGAGGGGAGAGCTCTGTTTAAAAGAGAGAGAGAGAAGGAAATGACCCCCCCCCCAGCCTTAAGAATGCAAGTTTATCTGACTGCAAATTATTATTGTCCTTGTTGATATCAGTATTATATACCTTCCCTTCACCCTGAGGTCCCAGGGTGGGTAACAACAACAAAAACGGTTCAAAACAAAACCCTAGAAATAACCTGGGTCCTGAAAATATACGGAGAGAAGATAATGTCCCAACCAGAGAAGAATGGCAGATTTAAATTGATGGATTATGCCGAAATGGCAAAAATGACCTGAAGAATCAGAAAGACCAAAATTCTAATAAAGAATGGGGGAGATTTATAAATTATCTTAAAAACCACTGCAAACTGTTAAAATTGTTAGTAGAATTGGAATAACACTTGTAGTTTAATGGTGAATTTTGGATTTAATGGAGATGTAAAAGATTGGGATTGTTATAAAGGATGCAAGAGGAAATGGCTAACAATAGGACCCAAAAGGGAAGGAGGGAAATCCAGGAGATTCTTTGGAATCTTGTTTTTATGGTATATATTGGATATGTGATTGTAAAAACTGTAATTTGAAAAACTAAAGAAATAACATTTTTTTAAAAAAAGAAAATATATGCCAGGATGAAGAGGCATGTCGTCAGCATTCCCTGAAAGCTGCATAATGAAGGTGCCAGACGCACCTCTGGGGGGGGGGGTTCCACAGTTTAGGGGCTGCCACAGAGAAGGTCCTCTCTGGGGCCAACACCACTTCCACCCCCCTTGAGCGTATGATGGTGTTGGCTCCCAAGCTGCTGCTGCCCAGCTTAGAGTGTGCTATGTAGCCTCCTTGGGTATGAGCTTGCCCTGAGAAAGAAGTAGCATGGAGAATAGATTACCTACCCTCTCTTTAGGCCTGATAATAATTACTTAGAGAGAGTTATAAAGGGCTCAATCAAAGAATCGGTGGTATACATAGAACAGCATAAAAGTTAACATCCTTCCACAATGGTTATTTGCTGTCTGTTTATAACTTTTCATGATTTTTATTGAACAGTTTTATGTTTTACTGATGTAAACCATTTTTATATATTGTTGGTTGTATAACGGTATATAAATATGTTTTATAAATAACCAAACGATACATAATTGCCAATAATTATGAAGCTGCATTTTAAATTGCATTTTAACCTGTATTTTGGATTTTTTTCTTTTTCTTTTTTTATTATTATGTTTTTACTGAAATTTTATTAAAGTTAGCCGCCCTGAGCCCGGCTCTGGCCCAGGGAGGGCGGGGTATAAATAAAATTTATTATTATTATTATTATTATTAATAGTGGAGCTGTGGGTAAGAGCCTCAGCGCCTAGGGCTTGCCGATCGAAAGGTCGGCGGTTCGAATCCCCGCGGCGGGGTGCGCTCCCGTTGCTCGGTCCCAGCGCCTGCCAACCTAGCAGTTCGAAAGCACCCCCGGGTGCAAGTAGATAAATAGGGACCGCTTACTAGCAGGAAGGTAAACGACGTTTCCGTGTGCGGCTCTGGCTCGCCAGATGCAGCGATGTCACGCTGGCCACGTGACCCGGAAGTGTCTCCGGACAACGCTGGCCCCCGGCCTCTTGAGTGAGATGGGCGCACAACCCTAGAGTCTGGCAAGACTGGCCCGTACGGGCAGGGGTACCTTTTCCTTTTTATACGTAACTAAATTATATAGTAAGGATACCTGCCTAATTTCCCAAAGCACAGCTGCTGCCTCATCAAAAGAGTGACTTGTAAAAGTGCAATTTCTGGACATTGATGCTGTCAAGGAGGTGTGAAGGGGCAGGGCCATTCTGGGTCACAGTATACTGAAACTCTGTTACCTGGTTTTATCTCCTTTTTAAGGACATCCAAGCTCGTGCCAGCTCATACAAGTTAAGACAGCAAATTCCATAAGTTAATTATGTATAGTACTGTAGATGACAAAAACCCCTTTAAAGCATGGGGTGTGTAAACAGCTCAAAAACAAAGTCCAGAGAATCTGTGCATCTATCATATAATGAGGGTTACTGGATCCCGGCTGAAATGGACAGCTAAAACATTTCTGAATAAGCAGGTATAAGAAATGGCATTTAGTGGTGAATATTGAAATGCAAGAACTCAATGGAAATATAGAGTTCAGGAATATATTATTTCTGATTAGAGAATATTTCTTTCTTTCTTTCTTTCTTTCTTTCTTTCTTTCTTTCTTTCTTTCTTTCTTTCTTTCTTTCAGTGGGTGGTGTACTTTGAGCCAGTGGCTGTGTATTTCACCAAGGTGGGTGAGATCTCCAAAATTCACAGCATAGATCTCTTCACAAGGAAGTCATGCCAGAAGACAATGAGAACACGGCATCTGTAGGTAAGACTGTCTTTTCCCCCTTGGATGGTATTGAAAATGAAGTTCTTAAATCACACCAGTGGGCAAGCGAGTGGTGACCAAACAGGGGCCACAGAAGGCAGTGATTGCCACCAATTTAGATGGCTTTAAAAGAAGATTGAGCAAATTCATGGAGGAGAAGACTATCAATGGCCAGTAGCCATGATGGCTATGCTCTGCCTCCAAATTTGGAGGCAGCGGGTGGCGCTGTGGTCTAAAACCACAGAGCCTAGGGCAGGGGTCTGCAACCTTTAAGACAAAAAGAGCCACTTGGACCCGTTTCCGAAGGGGAAAAAAACTGGGAGCCGCAAAACCGGGAAGGTGACGTCGGGACGGTGCGTGACTAACGCACGCACCGCCCCCATGCGACGTCACAGCCAGTACAGCGCCCGTCACAGTGGGGAGTGTCAGGGCGCACAATGCGCCTCCTCCCCTCGCTAGTATCCGCCCCGGAGCCGCGGCAAAGGTGTAAAAGAGCCACATGCGGCTCCGGGGCCGCGGGTTGCAGACCCCTGGCCTAGGGCTTGCCAATCAGAAGGTTGGCGGTTCAAATCCCCAGGACGGAGTGAGCTCCCATTGCTTGGTCCCTGCTCTTGCCACCTAGCAGTTCGAAAGCACGACGAAGTGCAAGTAGATCAATAGGTACTGCTCTGGCGGGAAGGTAAACGGTGTTTCCGTGCGCTGCTCTGGTTCGCCAGAAGCGGCTTAGTCATGCTGGACACATGACCCGGAAGCTGTACGCTGGCTCCCTCGGCCAATAAAGCGAGATGAGTGCCGCAACCCCAGAATCAGTCACGACTGGACCTAATGATCAGGGGTCTCTTTACCTTTACCTTTAGTGCTTCTGCAAACCACTTCTGAAACTTCAGGAGGAGAGGGTTCTCATTTGCTTGCAGGTTCCCAACAGGCATCAGGCTGGCAACTGTGAGAACAGGGTGCTGGACTAGATGGGCCACTGGCCTCATCCAGCAGAGCTCTTTCTATATCCTTGTGGCCCAGAGGCTAAAACCCTTTAATAAAGTTTTATTTTAAATGTATCAGCAGTGGACCAGTGAATGCAGCTCATGTTATGAAAAGACAATATTATGACAAATATTATGAGAAATCTGAAGAATCATGAATTGTGCAGGCTGTTTATGTTAGCCTGTTGGAAGGATTTTAAAAGGTACCAGTGACCAACTCAAATAGAGTCCAAGAATTGACAGATGCAGCAATTGGAGAAAAAGAAAGTGAGCTTTATTGCTGAGCAATAATTGACCCAGTGGAATCCTTTCCAAAAGACTGGGCCTCGAGATCTATTGCCCTGGGGCTTTATACCTGAGTACATACATCACAGATAATGACATAATGGGATACAATTGCAAACGGCAGCCAAATAAGCTAATGAGCGCATACAAGCCTTGCTCCTGACCGTACAAAGAGTTCTCTCCCAACTTCTGCTTTTTAGTTTGAACACCAGTCCGACCTTTCCCCTAGATTTATTGCAAGAAATAGAAACTTAGGGCAAAGAGGAACTTCGGCTGTTGAGCTCCTACAGACCATCTGCTATAAGGGACATTCTGCGGTTTCCTGTTTCACTGTACAGACTTTGTCTGGACAAAGGGAGGAAATGTGCCAGCACATCAGACTTATCGCTTCCCTTCTTGTTCGGTGAGATAGAGAGAGAACAAGGAAGTACTGGGACAAAGTTCATCTAAGACTTTGCAGATTTAAGCAATTTGCTAAGCTAAGCAGAAGCTTTCACGATTCAAACATGGATTATAAAATCATTATAAAAATATCTGGTTATAAATGAATATATTGAAAACTGATAACTGATTATATGGATAACTGATTATATGAAAAGCATAAGGGTAAAATTCCTCCAGTTCCTTCTTCAAGCCAGATTTCATATGTTTCCCTCGATGATAGTGAGAGGAAGATATTTAGCTCTCCCAGAATCAGAGTGTCTCTGTAAATGTAGTAAACAGGAAACAGATACTTTGGAGCATATTTTCTTTTCTTGTGATTTTGGCATTTATGCCAGAAGACAATTATTAGAGGCCTTACAACTCAATAGGCTGATATCTACGCTACCAAGGGTTCAGGACCTGCCTTCGGACAGGAATGATCAAATTACTTTAATAGTGGCTGAATTTTTGAGTGCTGTCCATGTAGAAAGACTGGGTCATTATAAAGAGAATTAGTGGTTCTTAATTGACCAGGGATTCAGTAGTGCAGTAGTGCTGTACTGTATTATTTATGCAAATTGATTTTCTCTGGAGTTAAAGATCTGACCGGGACAAACCTTATTATGCTGAGCTTGTATTTTGCATAATTTGTATACGGTGTCTGTTTGATAATGTGTGGTTTGTTATGCCGAATAAAAGAAAACTATTTGATAGAGAAATCAAAAGTACATTATATGTAAATAAAACTTGGAGAGTGTAAAATCTAAACAATTTTTAAATAAGTAACCCTACAATGGTTATTGCATGACAGGATTCAAAGAAGCAAGATTACACTTAAGTGAGTCTATGAATGTGTGTTTTGTTCCAAGCAGAAGAACCAATCAAAATTAATTCCAATTTCAATCAGTGAGAGACTGACTATCCACCTGGTCTCTCCCTCCCTCTCTCTCTCTCTCTCTCTATGAGGAATGTAATGCCTTGATCATTCAGGCTCAGTGCAGTGTGGTGTTTCTGTTACAGAATATAGTATTTTTGACCTTTAATAGCCGCTTTGACATTTCCATCCTTGTCCTTATTAGTTACTTTAGACATTCCTTGCCTAATTTGCTAGTCATTCAGGCATTTCCCCTGTGGCTCTTTCCACTCAAAGGCCCTTTCAGACTTATAAATATGGGACTTCCCAACTTGCTACTTGAGCCCTCTTCTCTGTGATTCTTCACTGGTGCAAGCTACATTTGGCAAACTGGGCGGTTCTGGGAGGAGTGACCAGCCCAGGCATCAGCATAACATTCAGGGACTCTTGAGGTCAGTGGTGGCTAAATCTTTTTGGGGCCCTGGACGCATTCAGAATTATGAGAATGTGTTGTGAGCTCTAGTCACAAAAATGTCCATGTGGGAGTGTGGCATAGCGTAAAATTGCTCTTTTGGCATGGCATAACACAAAATGTCTGCTGCATCTAATAGAGCAGAATAAGAGGTAGGATCATAGAACTGTGCTAATATGGAAAACTTTAATTTATTAATTTTTTTAAAGGTTTGAACCTGATAAACAAGAGCAGCAGGTTCCAGCAATCTCCTTTCCCAAACATTGCTAAGTCTCATCTGCTGTGTTGCCTGTTGCTGGTGAGGTGTTGTGGATTACAGCTAGAAAATAAATAAAACATAATTCAGAATTATTCCTGAAGTCAAGTATTCCATGAATATGCAGTCATACGCACATATAAACAGATGTCTTTATTGCTGGCTGGTAATCATACTCCTTCATTAGTTAGTTTGTTTATCCTATTCTTCAGCCAAAATAAAGACTCTCAGAGTGGCCATACATATGGCTAAAAGAAGTGAGTCAGTCCCTGCCTCAGATTTGCAGTTTGAAAAGGCAAAAGGGAAATGGATTTGGAGGGAAGGAAAAATACGCAAATGAATGTCTAAATTCTTTTTTTTTTTTTAAATGGAACACAGAGCAGAACAGCTCTGCAGGGAGAAACCAGAGTAATTATTGGGAAACACTGTTATAGACAAGTGATTTTCTGGACCAAAATTCTTCTTTCATTCTGTTCTGTAACATCTTGCCTCAGAACCTCAGTGTCTGGGAAATAGCTGAATAACTGAATAACATCCCCCCCCTTTCCTTTCTTCTTCCCAAGCAGGTGATGCGAAGCCATCTTTGGATTCGCTGAAAACAATCAAGCATGAAGTGGGGAAGAATACATTTGGAAACCAAAGGACATCAAAAAGGCAGGACAGAAAGCGGTCAAAGAATTGGAGGAAGAAATACTCTGCTTCTCCATGTGCAGAACACCCTCAACTTCCACCAGATACTGAAAGAGTGAAAAAGTGTCCAGTGTGCGGGAAAATGTTCAAAGACAAATCAACACTAAATAATCATCGCAGAACCCACACAGGGGAGAAACCCTATAAATGCATGCAATGTGGGAAGGGCTTCAGTGTGAGTGGTAACCTTACAATCCATCAAAGAACCCACACAGGAGAGAAACCATTTAAATGTATGGAATGTGGAAAGAGCTTCAGTGTCAGCTGTAACCTTACTAAACATCAAAGAACCCACACAGGAGAGAAACCGTATAAATGTACAGAGTGTGGAAAGTGCTTTAGTGATAGCGGAAGTCTCACTTCACATGAAAGGATCCACAGAGGGGAAAAACCTTATAAATGTATGGAATGTGGAAAAGGCTTCTGTGTGAGCAATAGCCTTATCGCTCATCAAATAATCCACACTGGGGAGAAACCATATAAATGTATGGAGTGTGGAAAGTGCTTCAGCCAATGTGCAAACCTAAATACACATCAGAGGACCCACACAGGTGAGAAACCATATAAATGTAGGGAGTGTGGAAAGTGCTTCACCCAGAGCGTAAATCTAAAAACACATGAAAGAACTCACACAGGAGACAAACCATATAAATGCTTACTGTGTGGAAAGTGCTTCCATGGCAGTGGAAGCCTTACTAAACATAAAAAAATGCACACTATGGAGAAACCATATAAATGCATGGAATGTGGAAAAGGCTTCAGTGTGAGTGGTAGCCTTACTCTACATCAAAGAATCCACACTGGGGAGAAACCATATAAATGTATGGAGTGTGGAAAGTGCTTCAGCCAAAGTGCAAACCTGAAAACACATCAAACAACCCATACAGGAGAGAAACCTTATAAATGTGTGGAGTGTGGAAAGAGCTTCATTAATAGTGAAAAGCTTAGTTCACATCAAAGAACCCACACAGGGGAGAAGCCATTTAAATGCATGGAGTGTGGAAAATGTTTTAGCCAGAGTGCACACGTTAATACACATCAAAGAACTCACACAGGGGAGAAACCATATAAATGCTTAATGTGTGGGAAATGCTTCCATGATAGTGGAAACCTTACTAAACATCAAAGAACCCACACAGGGGAGAAACCTTATAAATGCATGATATGTGGAAAGAGCTTTAGTGTGAGCAGCACCCTTACTTCACATCAGAGAACTCACACAGGAGAGAAACCATATAAATGCTTAGTGTGTGGAAAAAGCTTCAGTCAGAGTGGAAGTGTTACTACCCATCAAAGAACCCACACAAAGAAACAACTATATAAATGCATGGAGTTTGAACCAAGCTTCAGTCTTGATTGAAAACTTTCTTGGCAGCAAAAAATGTGAGAATAATATAAATGCCTAAGAAAGCCTTTCCCACCCTGGCTTCCCACAGAAGTTGTATTCCAACTCTAATATGACCCATGATCCATAAAGATCTTAGTATGGATCAAAAGAAATTGCATAAGAGAGACTATAAATCCCTGGGTAGTGGAAAGAGCACAGCAAAATGATTACGAAATATTCAAAAAACACAGGGAAGAAATAATAAATGTATAAATTAAGAAAGATTTAGATAGCGTGGTTTCTCATTTTTATGCAGGCAGGAGTGAAATTATTTAAATACATGCACTCTGAGAGCAGACTTGCTACGCAGGAAAGAACCCACACAGGGAGGAAGCCACATGAATGTATGGTATATGAAATGAGTTTCACAGGGGACATCAAATAATCCACATAAGGAAGAAACGTCTGGGATGCGTGTGATGCAGAATCAACACAAATCTTCTTAGACTTCAGAGAACCTACACAGATGAGAACCCACTGGCATGCTTCTGTGACAAATTCTTTGATATTTTAGGATTTATTAAGATTATGCTTTTCTCTGTTTCCTGCAAATACAGTAGGTATTCCTCACTCATGCTTCTGGGCATTATCCCTTCCATCAGTGTGCTTCCACTAGAATTTGCTCTTTGGATCACAGTTTTTATTTGTGCAGTAAGAAAGGTTGTCTATTGGGAACACACATTGCATGGTAAATGTCTTTGGAAAATGTAACCCACATCCAAGGTTAATGGGGTGGATTAGAAAGAGAGGATATGAATAGTAGGAAATAATCAGTTGGTTGTAAAGTTGGACAGTGTAGATTAAATTAGCAGAAGATTTGAGTGGGCAGATTTGAGAAAGGAAGCAGTGAGACTAATAATGCGTTGCAGTAATTAATGGGGGAAGGAAATGTGTGACCAGTCTGTATTGGAGAGAGGGGACCAAGTTTATAAAAGCTCCAGTTATTAGATGGTGTAGAAGTAGTCAAAATATATATGGTGGCTGATTTTCCATCTCTCCTAGTTTTCTTATACTTGATCTATTTCTTAGGTGCATTTCTGAGACCCACTGCACACTTTCCAACACTGGTTGAGATTCACCTAATCAATCCCATCAGCAGATGTCGTGTAATGGGGGTGGCCCCACCCAAGCCCCCAAAATTGGCTGAAGCGGCAGTTCAGGAGAAACCCCAGAGCAGAGCATAGGGGGAGGGGGGGTGTTGCAACCAGCTACCTGGAATGCTTGTGCAAATGAAACATTTGTTATGGTGCGTCACAGAACTCCATCCTTTGAAAATTGCATTTCCTGTCAAAGTTACTTTAGAGATTAGAGGTTGTTGGTGATTTGTGTTTGGTCCATTTTTAATGTAGCGGTTGAGATGTAATAAAAAAAAAGGATCAGTTGCACCTGAGAACTTCACTACTAACATTTATGCTTTAAATACACAATAAAAGAGTCAAGTGGTGAATTGTGAAACTTTGAACGTGTATTTTTTTGAAAACAAGATCCGTGTGGTAATGAACGGCCAGAGTCTTGAGAAAGTTCAGAAGCTAACCCAATTTCTCAACACTGGTCTTTCTGATTTCAGGTTGCCATTGCTTTATTTTTCTGTGTAAATGCTGACCAGTTTGCATGTGGAATGCAGAGAGGTAATGGTGGCAATTGGTAGCATATACCACATTGGAAGATGAGCAGGGGAACAAACCTTTGATGCTGCTGCTGACATTACTAGGTCCTGAGATAATGATGCCTGAGTGATCACAAAGCTACCTTAATAAAAGAGGTCTATCTTTTCTAATGAAGCGACGTGGGTAGTGTTGTGGCCTAAACCACTGAGCCTAGGGCTTGCCAATTGGAAGGTCGGCAGTTCGAAACCCCACGATGGGGTGAGCTCCCGTTGCTCGGTCCCTGCTCCTGCCAACCTAGCAGTTCGAAAGCACGTCAAAGTGCAAGTAGATAAATAGGTACCACTCTGGCAGGAAGGTAAATGGCTGAGTCTTGTCATCTGGGCAGCCCAGGATCTCCATACGCACTGCCCAGGCTTGCCCGCTGGCTTGATGTTCCTAGTGCAGCAGTTTGGCTTCACCTCCAGAGGCACACTCCATTGTGTCTCAAGACGGATGGATGCCAACAACAGATTATTAGTTTTAAAAAGTACTTATCTGAAAAAAAGCAGCCGGACAAAGCTTATGTCCTCAAAGTAGTGGAATTAGTTTAGGAGAGGGATTAACTTTCCACATTTGTGTATGAGACAAGGCCAGTTAAGGCTAGGGTACAGGCATCCTGTTTTCCTGTCTACCCTTCTAACCATAAGAAATAAATTGTAACAATTCTCAAAGAGAGCTTTATTCATTCCCTCCGCATCTCTTAGTGCCCCTTTCTTCTTCCTCCTCAGCTACTGGATGCTGCCACAGACCCACTACAAAAGCTGTCCTACCTGGCTCGTGAAAGGAGTCATAAAGTGTGGCTGACGAGACACTTGTTGAATCATAGAATTGTAGACTTGGAAGGGACCCTAAAGATCATCTAGTCCAACCCCGCTACAGTGCAGGAATATGCAGCTGTCCCATATAGGGAGAAATCAGCATGTTAGTGTGGTCGGCTCCCTGCCTATTGACCCCAGGAAGGCACATTTACTGAACTCTTTGGCACCTGTTTAAAACCTTTTTTTTGTTCAGGCAATCCTGTTAATTATTTTAATTGTTTAGGCAAGCAAGTTTACTGTTTTATAGCATCTTAAATTCTTTTTTATTACCAGCAAGGGGTATATAAATGTTGTTTAAACAAAAATAAATAAATAAAATTCCTTCTTGGCTTGGCACCCAGTGTGGGTGAACCAGTGGCGCCCCTCTAAACCCACCTCTGGAAGTAGTACAGTCGTACCTTGGAAGTTGAACGGAATCCATTCCGGAAGTCCGTTCGACTTCCAAAACGTTTGGAAACCAAAGCACAGCTTCCGATTGGAAGGTAGCCCCACGTAGAGTGCTAGCCCCATACATATCCTTTGTCTTGACTTCTCCTTGCATGGCTCCAACTTCTGTTTCACACATTTGACCCAGGACTCAACCTCTCTTCTCTCTCCCCCCCCCCCCGAGGAGCTGAAGGGGCATCTCCAGCTTACTTTTCTTCTCTGCTGTCTTCCAGAACATCCTGGGGCACCTGAAGTGCTTTGAAGATTGCCGCCTGATTTTGGCCTTGGCGGCTCTTTTCCAACTGAGGAGAATGGGGGTATTTTGAATGGACACATTGCAAGGAACTGACAGCCTGACTTTTGCATTCCAGCAACAGGAGCAAGAACAGCTCTACTCCTGCCAGGTGATTGAGAACTGCCAGGCAGCTGGGCCTTGGAGGCCCTTCTCCAGCTGAGGTGGTGACTTTTTAATGGACAGGGTTGTGTGTGGTGGTGGTGGGGATCTCAGGGTGGGGAATAGCAGGCAATCTAACACTGTTCCCTACATCTTTTTCCTGTGCCAACCTTCCTGCCCTAATTTTTGCTGGCTGGCTGCCTCCTCCTGTAGTTTGCTCTGGGTGCTGAGGGCTGCTGGCAGACCTCCCATTCCCCTGCCAGAGCTACAATTCCTGGAGTACCCTGACCGTTAAAACCGCTCAGAATTGTGAAGGTTTGCAGAATGCGACATGGGAGAGAGAGAGAGAGAGAGAGAGAGAGAGAGAGAGTACTGCCCGTCGCTCCAAAGGTTAAACCAATTGAGTTGAGATTCCTAGAGAGGCGGGGTGGGGTGGGGAGGAGTGCTGGGGAAAGAAATCGAAGTCGGCAAGGCAATAGTAAAGCACGCTCCTTTTTATGTTCCAGGAAAGGGACTGAGCCTCCTGAGATCCCTTGGCAAAGAGGTAAAGCCTCAGCGTTGGGTGAAAGATGCTTGGATCCTGTATGCCTCCCTCTGGCAACTGCTGCAGCCCAGCTGGTATCAAATGCATGGCTCTGCTTTCCTTTGCACCACATTAGAGAGGCTGAGAGGGGGGGGTCGTGTCCCCTGGGCACCCCAGGACCTCCATAAACACGGCCCAGGCTTGCGCTCCCCCCCGGAGGGCCACTTGGGTGCTGCAAACGCAGCAGAAACAACCTGAGAGGCGGCAGGGAGGGGACACCCCAAATGGCAAGGAAGGGGGCAACCCCGCCACAGTTTTGCTCTCTGCAGCAAGGGGAGGTAAGTCATGGGGGCTGATGTGTCCAGATTCAAAGTGGGCCCCAAATATCTGCATTCTTTCCATTGCAAGAGCCTCTTGAATGCTGCACCCTCCGTTGCCAACCCCAAGAATAGCTCAGTCTTCCCTGAGAGGGAGCTGAGGAGACCTGCAGGCTGAGAGTGATGCAAAGCTGAGCTCAGGGACTGGGTGGGTGGGTGTTCTCATGGACTGTCTTCAGTGAGCGAAGGTGGCAAAAAGCAAGCGGACTGGACATGATCCCTTCCAACTCTATGATTCTGTGGGTAACCTCCCCCCCCCCGCAAAGCTCTGCAGGTTGTTTGGGTACCAATTTTTTTTAAAAAAAGGATTTCCTTCATTTAGTTTTAAAGTGTGTTTCTTTTTCAATTTCCACCTTGATGTCATTTGTGCTAGGTAAAAACCAGAGGCAACTTAACCAGAGCGCTTAGTGTTTCATTCGATTCAGTCAGTTTATTACAGTCATAGACCAGCATTTAACCCTGTAAGCTCTATAGTAATAGTAATGGTAATAATAACAATAATAATAATAATAAATTAAGCTGTAAGGGGTCAACTGGATACCTTTCCTTTGTTTTGGATTTTTTGTTATTATTTTTAAATATAAAAATTATTATTATTATTATTATTATTATTATTATTATTATTATTATTATATTTACTATTTTAATATATAAAAATAATGGATATTCTAACGCATATCACAATACAGGAACTGCTGCCAAACATTCATTGTGAAAAGAAGAAGAAGAAGAGTTTGGATTTGATATCCCGCTTTATCACTACCCGAAGGAGTCTCAAAGCGGCTAACATTCTCCTTTCTCTTCCTCCTCCACAACAAACACTCTGTGAGGTGAGTGAGGCTGAGAGACTTCAGAGAAGTGTGACTAGCCCAAGGTCACCCAGCAGCTGCATGTGGAGGAGCGGAGACGCGAACCCGGTTCACCAGATTATGAGACTACCGCTTTTAACTACTACACCACACAGTAAGTACTGTGATGGTGCACAGCTGCTGCAGATGTTGTGGCTTTTTGAGCTTTGGCTTGTGCAAAGTGACTGAGAGGTTTTGAACAGTGTCATTCTGGATGGGTTGTGAGCCTCTCATCCACCACAATAGATCACAAGTATTTTTTATTTTTGCTTCTTCAGTCATACTTAAACCAGTTGTAAAATGTATCCTTGTGAGGGGCACCATGGATACGCCCAACAAGTCATAGGAACGGTAGTGTTCCCCTTCCCACTGAATTTAACAAACTACTACCCCCAAGATACCTTGGGGAAAGCCATGTGCTTTGAATATGTTTTAAATGTATGGTGTGGAGGTGACATGTTGCTTTGTTGTGAGTGTGTGTCTGAAAGGATTTGTCTCTTTCATTTTTTGGCACTGCAAGATATTAAGGTGAACCAGCTGAGAAGGGTTTATGATCTTCAAGGTCTCTCTCATGAAGTCTTGACTCCTGCACAATTGAAATAATAATATTTTCAGGGAGGCTTATTGTTATTGCTTGTTACTGTGGTATGCATTTCTGTGCTTTTATGTCGTAAACCTCCCTTTGATCAAGGGTAGTATAGAAATGAAAGAAATATTAATAATCAAATAAAAACTAGACACAAATCTCTTCAGTTATAGCACCCTTTCATTCTTTTCTGGGAACCATAGTAATATTTTTTTATGTCCATGGGCGTTTATTTCATAATAGAGAATTTTCTTTATTTTTTCAGGGGCTAGAATCCTTTGAGGAGGCAGCTGTGTATTTCACCAAAGTGGAGTGAGATCTCCTCGATCCAGGCTAAAGAGCTCTTCAAGAAAGCCATGCCAGAGAATTGTGGGAATATGGCCACTCTGGGTAAGGATTCCTTTTCCTTGGTTGATGCATGTTTATGTTGGGAAAGAGAGGAGAAGGGGATGACAGAGGACGAGATGGTTGGACAGTGTTCTCGAAGCTACCAACATGAGTTTGACCAAACTGTGGGAGGCAGTGGAAGACAGGAGTGCCTGACGTGCTCTGGTCCATGGGGTCACGAAGAGTTGGACACGATTAAATGACTAAACAACAACAACAACATTATATTTCTGTCCCACCTTTCCTCCAGGTGTACATAGCTCTCCTCCTCCCCATTTTATCTTCACAGCAACCCTGTGATATAGGTTATGCTTAGAGGCAGCTACTGACCCAAGATCACCCACTGTTGGTCCTTTTTGTGATATTTCTCAGGGCCCTGTAGGGATGCCAGTGTGGAAATGGGAGGCTGGGCTATGTGCTCTGGACATGCCTTCCCTGCTACACTGTGTTAGACCTGGCCTTTGCTGTTGCCACACACACACACACACACACACACACACACACACATACACACACACACACACTCTTACACTTCCATTGAGGGAGAAGTGATGCTTGCAGTGTTAGTCATGAATGTGAGTGTAATGCTATATCCTCCTGCCACAGCCTTTTTCTTCCAAACAGTAGATGAGGTGGTAAACCTCAGGTTCTTAGTAGGAACTAAGTGGGATTTAGAAGACAGGAGTGCCTGGCGTGCTCTGGTCCATGGGGTCACGAAGAGTCGGACACAACTAAATGACTAAACAACAACAACAAGTGGAATTTAATCCTTCCACACACCCATTGCAAAAAGAAAAGAAAAATATCAAAGCATGTAGAAAGCTAGCTGTAAGGGAGCAAGCCTTACCAAGCTGTGTCCCTGACATGCTGGCTTTGTGCGTGTGAACAGATTCATTGCTTTCTTTTATTTTCATTTTTGTGTGCCTTCCATAACGCGAGCACTTGTCCTGCAGCCTGAAATCACACACTGAAATCACACACTGCCCAGGCCTCTTACAGGAACGAATTCCATAGTTAAATTATGTGTCATGTGAAGAAGAACTTTGTCTTGCCATCCTGAATCTTCCCACGTTCAGCTTCCTGGGCTAACCCAGAGTTATAGTATTATGATAAGGGGAGAAGATCTCTCTTAATCTCTCTCTCCATCATGCATTATGTTAATTGCATCATATACCTGCTTTATTTGCCATTTTTCTTGCCTATAAAGCTTGGTTCATTGTCACATCTCCTCTCAGGAGAGTTGCACCACCCTCTCCGTCGCTTTCAAGGTCCTTTATAAATATACAGGGTGCATATGTTGCTGGGGTTCTGATACACACAAACACCCTTATTATATTAAGTTGCAGAAACTGAGATCACAATTGTATCACAGAAGGAAAAAAACCCCTCACCCACCATTTTTACACCTATTGAAATCAAGTAGGAAATGGACCAAAAGGAACTCAGGTTATTTTCTGAGACAGTAGCATATTCAAAAGGTGATACAGGTTTCAGGAAGGGGAGATTTTTGAGTTTTTAAAAATTGTGCTTTTTGAAATCTTTGGTTACTGTATTAATCTCTTTATGGGATTTCCACCCCACCCCCCAAGCAGGTGATGAGCAAGACAGCGTGAATTATAGGAACCCATCTGTGGTGTCACTAGAAACAACCCAAGCTGAAGCCGGAACAGAGATATTTGGAAATCAAATGGAACAAAAGAGGCTCAAGGGAAACCATTCAAAGAATGTGAACATGCCCAGCGCTTCTCAGGATGCTGGCATCCACAAGCTTCTGGCTGCACAAGATCAGAAAGGAAAGAGAAGTGAAAATATTCTAGTAGAGGAGGAAATATTAAAAAACGAACCAATATTAAATGGACACTGCAGAAAACAAACAGGAGAGAAACCGTATAGATGTATGGAATGCGGGAAAAGCTTCAGCGTGAGCAGTAGTCTTGCTACACATCAAAGAACCCACACAGGCGAGAAACCATATACATGCCTGGAGTGTGGGAAAAGTTTCATTGACAGTGGGAGTCTTTGTGCACATGCAAGAACCCACACAGGAGAGAAACCATATAAATGCTTGGAATGTGGTAAATGCTTCAGTGTAAGTGGAAGTCTGGCTTCACATCAAAGGACCCATACAGGGGAGAAACCATATACATGCCTGGAATGTGGAAAAAGCTTCAGTGTGAGCGGTAGCCTTGCTTCACATCAAAGAATTCACACCGGGGAGAAGCCATATAAATGCATGGAGTGTGGAAAGAGCTTCACTGTAAGCAGTAGCCTTACTTTACATTTAAGGACCCACACAGGGGAGAAACCATATGTATGCATGGAGTGTGGGAAAAGCTTTAACAAAAGTGGAAACCTTAATACACACCGACAAACTCACATGGGCGAAAAGCCATATAAATGTTTGGAATGTGGAAAGACCTTCAGTCAACATCAACACCTCACTTCACATGTAAGAACCCACACAGGGGAAAAACCATATAAATGTATGGAGTGTGGAATGAGCTTCAGTGATGGTGGAAGTCTTACTGCTCACAAAAGAACTCACACAGGAGAAAAGCCATATAAATGCCTGATATGTGAAAAGACTTTCAGTCAGTGCGGAAACCTTACTGCACATCAGAGAATCCACACAGGAGAGAAACCGTATCAATGTATGGAATGTGGGAAAAGTTTCAGTGTGAGTGGAAGCCTTTCTGCACATCAAAGAACCCACACAGGAGAGCAACCATATAAATGTGTGGAGTGTGGAAGGAGCTTCAGCGTGAGCAGTAGTCTAACTTTACATCAAAGAACTCACACAGGTGAGAAACCCTATCAATGTAAGGAGTGTGGGAAGAGGTTTAGCAAAAGCAGAAACCTTAAAATACATCAGAAAACCCACACAATGAAGAAACCTGCCTGAGGTCTGTTCCTTAGACTTTCAGACTAAACAAGCTAGGCCTTAGCAATTGTGCGGGCATAGCTAGTACAGAAGCAGGATTCACAACACATAGCCCTTCACGGCCTAGGACCCTTGTACCTACAGGACTGCCTCTCCTGGTATGCCCCATGGAGGACCTTAAGGTTCATAAATAGCAACACACTAGAGGTCCCGGGCCCTAAGGAAGTCAGATTAGCCTCAACCAGAGCCAGGGCCTTTTCAACACTGGCTCCAGCCTGGTGGAACGCTTTGTCTCATGAGACCAGGGCCCTGCGGGATCTGATTTCTTTCCGCAGGGCCTGTAAGACAGAGTTGTTCCACCCGGCCTTTGGCTTGGAGCCAATTTGATTCCCTCCCCCTCTTTCTTTTTTCCTTTCTCTTCCTGTGATGGAACTCCTATTTGGGGACTTCCCTGGCTTTTTTCTGGCCCATGTAGGACCAGTCTGGAAAGTTAGCCTTGGTGAAGACTTGACGTTTTCATCCCCCAAAAAGTTTTTGATTTGAGTTTCTATTGAAATGAGGCTGTATTTTAATGCTTTAATGTTGTATTTTAATCTTGTTTTTAAGTTGTATTTCAATCAATTTGTTTTTATATCGGGTTTTAGCTGCCCCGAGCCCGGTCTTGGCTGGGTGTGTATGTGGGGTATAAATAAAATTTATTATTATTATTATACATACTGATGCACAGGGAGAGGGGGCACCAAAGGCAACCAAGGCCCCAAAATAACTAGGACTGCCCAAAGAAGACCTGTGATGAGCTGATATCTCAACAAAGGCCCAGGAGAGACAGGTATTTCTGCTCCTTATGAGCCCTCCTTGTTACTTGCTAGGTGGCTGGGAGGGGGAGTATCAATCGTTGCTGAGGGCCACCAAAAAGGCCTGGAGGGCCACATGCTCTAAGTGATTCAGCTAGGTAGACATGCAACTAGATTATTCCCACTGGGTTTTCTGCCTTCTTAGCTCCGTGAAGAAAGGTTAGAATCTACAAGAGAAAACCTGGTGGAACAAGTCAAGACCTTTGTTAAAGTAATTGCCCTGACTGGTCTCATCAGCATCTTGAAGAGTTAGGTAGGAAGATACGGTATGTGTTGGCGTAGTGACAACTGAAGATGCTTCCAGGAAGGGATGAGCTCTTCACCACCCGCCCCGCACCTGATTGCATGCCAAGTCATGCTAGGGGTCGTTTGTTTTGGTGTGTGATGCTGGAAGCTGGAGACTGACCCTGGAAACCTAATGGGAAGGCAAGATCTGAGTGTTTGTGCTGTGAGCCCCTGCATCCTTTATTAAGGCTGTATATATGTGCAAATAAAACCATATATCCTAAAGATAACCGTTGTCTTTATTCCAAGGAATCGGAAGGATGGGTAAGCATTGGAATGCCTGGATTCTCTTGTAGCTCAGAGATTTGGGGGTGGAGGGCAACAAAAAAAATTCTGTGTAGTTTTACAACGTTTCATTTCATTCATTACATGTGGAGGACAAAAGCTGCTGTTCTTGATTATACAAGAATAAATGAAAGGTTGCAAAAACACACAGAAAACAAAACTGAGAAGAGAGGGAAACATTACCTAGAGAAACATTTGCCTAATGGCAAAATTCAATGCATTTCTGGGTAATTTTATGCCCGAGATTATTTCTGTTTACCAAAGGAAAACGGTAAGTGGTAACTAGCAGAAATTTGGGGTCATTGTACAGGTGACAGTTTGTGACAACGTCCTAGAAGGACTACCCTCAGACACAGTCAGACCAACTGAGTTTTTTGACATACCCCTCCCTCTTCAGCTAACAAATGATCAAGGGCTTCCAACTGTTTTGCAATATTGACCCTCTCATCCGGGCCATTTGTGTGGCTTTGAGATCTTCTCATCAACACAAAGAAGCCTTTCTCTTTTGATCTTTCATACTTGTCAGTTGAAAAACCCTGTTCACAACAATATGTGATTGTCCTCATAGAATCACAGTTGGAAGGACCCCAAGGGTCATCTAGCCCAACCCCCTGAAATGCAGGAATCTCAGCTAAAGCATCCATGATGGACGGGCGTCCAACCTCTGCTTAAAAACCTCCAAGGAAGGAGAGTCCGCAACCTCTCGAGGGAGACCATTCCACTGTCAAACGGCTCTTTCCGCCAGAAAATTCTACCTGATGTTTAGTTGGAATTTCCTTTCTTGTAACTTTGAGTCCTACCCTCTAGTGCAGGAGAAAACAAGCTTGTTCCCTCTTCCATGTGACAGCCCTTGAGATATTTGAAGGTGGCTATCATATCTCTTCTCCATGTCTTCTCCATGCTAAACGTACCCAGCTCCTTCAACTGGTCCTCATAAGGCTTGGTTTCCAGACCCTTGATCATCTTTGTTGTCCTCCTTTGCACACATTCCAGCTTGTCAACATCCTTCATAAATTGTGGTGCCCAGAACTGGCTAGAGGAAGATCTCCAAGGTTCCTTCCAGCTCTTATGATTTTTTGCCTTTGGATGAGGTTAGTTTTCCCTCCCTCCAAAACACACGTTTTCCCTTTGCTCTAAAAATTGGTCTCTCTGTCCCCCTTCTTCATATGTGATTGGGGCAGACCTCTTTCTGCTTTTTTTTTTTTTTTAACATTCCTCCCAGCTACATGCCAGCTTAAAAGTTCTGCGCACGGGCAAAACTCTCTAGAGCAGGGGTCAGCAAACTTTTTCAGCAGGGGGCCGGTCCACTATCCCTCAGACCTTGTGGGGGCCGGATTATATTTTGTGGGGGGGTGGGTAAATGAACAAATTCCTATGCCCCACAAATAACCCAGAGGTGCCTTTTAAATAAAAAGACACATTCTACTCATGTAAAAACACACTGATTCGCGGGCCGGATTTAGAAGGCGATTGGGCCAGATCCGGCCCCCGGGCCTTACTTTGCCTACCCATGCTAGAGAATGAGATTCTAGTCCTCCAAGGGTTAAACCTACAGAGACCTGGTTCCTAGAGAGGCAGGAAATGTCACAACGGGGACGGTAATATCGGACGCACTTGTATGGTTGTTGTTGTTATTACAGTATTTTTATGATTGTTATTCCCGGAAGGGAAAGAGGCTTCCTGGGATTCCTTCGTGCGGAAAGGAGAGCTTTGTGCGCGTAACGGGCCCGGCAGGAAGGTAAAGGCTGCCCCGCTTGCGAGGAAGGGAGGCCGAGGCCCTGCTATTTCGGGGAAGGGAAGCCCCTCGTCTCCATAGGGAGGAGGAAGGCGGTGGAAGAGATTCAGAAAAGGGCAATAAAAAACGACCAAGGGCGGGGAACGACTTCCCCACCCTGCAAGGAGCAAAGCTTGCAGCTTTCGGGACTACTTAGTTTCAAGAAAAATATTGCTATTGTTATATTTATTTCTATCCTGACCTTTTCCAACATTGGGGAGTGGGGGAGTGGAATATTCATTAAAAGACAATTAAGCACTAATTAGAATTACAGCTAAATAGAGAGGTAAGAAGTGGCATGTTAAGAAAATTCTGCATGGCAGGGAGAACGTGGTTAGAAAAAGGCTTTCCACCCCCCCAGCAAACCACTTTTCTCTTAAGTCCACTGAAGCAGATTCACGTGCAAACTGCGGGACGTTGAATGTTTATTATTACAGCCAAACGGCCAGCATACTGAAACCAAAATTTCTGCATAGTTCTTTACAAAAACAATAGAAACAATCAAGGTGGAATTTAACAATCAATCTACTAATTAAGTAAACTTAAAATGTGTATACAAGGAAATAAAAACTGCATTTTCTGAATATAAAGAATAAGAAAAATTAACCATAAGCTGTAATGTTTTATAAGTGTTTGTGCAGCTGTGTAATCTTTTGCTTACTTTGACTTGCTATTGCACAATCTATGGGACTCTCTCCCACAGGAGGCAGTGATAGCCATGAACCTTAATGGCTTCAAAAGAGGATCAGATAAATTCATGGAGAGAGCTGTCATGACTACTAGCCACGATGGCTCTATGTTCTGTCTCCACAGTTGGAGGGAGCAATGCTTCTGAAAACCAGTTTCTGGAGAGTGCTTTTGTACTCAAATCCAGCTTCTGTAGTTCTCAGAAGAGGCATCTGGTTGGCCACTGTCAATCAGTCAATCAATTTTTATTTTATATAACCAAAGGCCTTTACAATGGACAACAGAGAATAAAAGGAATCTTTCATCTAACTTTTTTGTGGAAAAGGTTCAAAGTAGAGCAAGGCACAAGTAAGGGATTTGTGTGTTGAAACCAACCAGGCTCCTGTTTTCTAAAGCTACTGTCAAAGGCAGAGACTAAATTGTTTTATTTATTTATTTATTGAATTGAATTTATATCTTACCCCTTCTTGCTGAAGGAGCCCAGGGTGGCAAACACATCAACATTTCAAAAACAAAACTGGAAAACAGTAAAAGCGTTCTGAAGACAATTGCAATAAGAAACTTCTAAAAGCAGTTACAGTTAAAAACATGACTAAAAACATTTATTTCATCCAGTGTGCTCAAGATTGCCCGGAACAGTAGTCCTTACACAACAAAGGCCTGAGTAAAGTTTTCAAATTCCTCCTTAAAGTTAATAGTGATTGAGACAGGTGCACTTCACTAGGGAGATCATTCCACAACTGGGGAACCACCACTGGAAAGGCCCTGTCACAGGGCAGCCCTTGGTTGCAGCAGCACCAGCAAAGCCTCACCTGCCAGTTGTAAGAGCTGAGATGACTGGAAAGGCACTCTTTTACGTACTTCAAGTCCCTAGCCATTTAGGGTTTTATGTGCTGGTACTGACACCTTGGGGACGCGGGTGGCGCTGTGGGTAAAGCCTCAGTGCCTAGGACTTGCCGATCACATGGTCGGCGGTTCGAATCCCTGCGGCGGGGTGCGCTCCCGCCGTTCGGTCCCAGCGCCTGCCAACCTAGCAGTTCGAAAGCACCTCTGGGTGCAAGTAGATAAATAGGGACCGCTTACCAGTGGGAAGGTAAACGGCGTTCCGTGTGCTGCGCTGGCTCGCCAGATGCAGCTTGTCACGCTGGCCACGTGACCCGGAAGTGTCTGCGGACAGCGCTGGCTCCCGGCCTCTAGAGTGAGATGAGTGCACAACCCTAGAGTCTGGCAAGACTGGCCCGTATGGGCAGGGGTACCTTTACCTTTACCTTTACTGACACCTTGAATGCGGTCCAGTAGCTCAAGTGCAGTGCTTTCAGGATTGGTATCACGAGGTCCCATTGGCTGCCCACTCACCAACCTAGCAGCCACATTCTGCACTTGCTGCAGCCTCCGAACCCTTCTTTCCAGTTATTTACATGGTCCAAGCCATGGAACCTGAATGAGTTTCCCAGAGGATGAAACTGTTCTCGTCACCTTTCCTTCTCTACCCCGCCCTCAAATGGGGACATGAATGACACAATTTCACTGCTGCCCCTAGACCCAGGCTCTCTTTCCTCACTTTTGTCTCCCCCACAGGCAGAACAATGGCATCAGGGGTGCCGTCTGGGCCATAACTTCCTTGTGGCACAGCGGAAGGAGCTGCCATGCACTCATCTCAGGTAGGAGAGGGATCCTCGTGGAGAGAGGTTGGGGACACCTTGGTGGTGTTAGATCTTCAAGGAATGTGCCTCTTTAGCTTTTGTTCTTAGGAGATGTCAAGTTGACCAAGTAAGGCTATGAACTCTGCAGTATCCCTTGCATGATGCCTTGAGTCCTGCAGAAAAAAATTAGGAAGTGTACACAAATCCACCCGGTTAGTCCTTCCCCTTTCAAACTGGGAGCCCTGTTTAATACACAGATAATTTTGTATACATGAGAAGTACATTTCTGAGTATAGGCCATTATGGTGTGCTGTTGTTTTCCCCAGCAGTTGGTGTCCTTTGAAGCAGTGGCTGTGTATTTCAGCAAGGGGGAGTGGGATCTCCTGGGTCCAAGCCAAAGAGCTCTCTACAAGGAAGTCATGCTGGAGAATTATGAGAGTGTGGCCTCTCCAGGTAAGGATGTTTATTCATTTGTTGAGAGAGAAAAAATAAAGCCCCATTGTCATGGCCAGACCACTTCCTGGTGAAGTTTGGGCTTCCATTTCCAATTTCCCGTAGGAATGAGGAACCAGTTAGGATCATCTGCCCCAAGAGACCTATGGAGTGCAATGGATTCCTGAATGCTTGGGGGGATTTTTTCGGTGTTAGAGCTGGTGACTAGCCACAGAATAGCCTAATGCCGAGGAGCATGGATATGAGCAGCCTTTCTGATGCTGTGGAGTATTTCTGGCTACCTGGTATACTGAGGAACTATGTGTCATGAAACTAGCCAGATGATGGCTACAACACAAGTGGCAAAAGTCCCACTGCGGTTATAAGCTAGAGAACACAACCGTGTCTGCCGTGTGACAGTGAAGCTGTGGAGAGGACGTACTTCGCTGTTTCCATTGCATCCTTCAGTAATTGCCTAATGTCAGGGAACTGACATCAGAGACTAGCGGAGAGGGAAGTCGCCCCAATGATGCAGGGGAGGGAACTAGCAAGGAGAGAGCGAGAGCGCTTCCGCTGGGGAAGGAAATCAAGGTGACACCAGGAAGAAAGGGGAGGCTGAGAGTACTTTGGAGGGGAGGCTCCGGGACTCTTCCAGTGGGATCAGCAGGGAGAGTGCAGGACCTCGCTTGGCACGCCCACTCTGCGCAGAAGGCTTCCGCGCAGAGAAGCTAGGCGGAGACTTGCTGTCAAGGAATTCTTATGTTGGAAGAAGTTCAGGAAACGCCCACTGACGGATTCTGCCAGTGATTGAGACAGTCGCGTTGTGAGGGCTGTCAAACCAGGGAAAGGTTTAGCTATACAACCAGCGTGGAACGGTTGGGGAGTTTACGCACAAGCAACCCCAATTCCCATTACACCTAATAATGCCCAACTCTTTTTCTTTGTAACATCCTAACTGGGAGTGGCAGAAGGCCCTAGTCTGGAATCTGAATACAGTGGTGGATTGGATGAGAACAAATAAACTGAATCTGAATCCTGACAAGACAGAGGCTTGGTGGATGAGTGCCCTGAGTCCGGGAAGTCAGTAACTGACCTCCCTTGTTGCACTTTCTGTGAAGGAGCAAGTGTGCAGTTTAGGGGTGCTCCTGGATCCAGCTCTTCCCCTGCAGACACGGGTCTTTGGTGGCTCGGAGTGCCTTTAACCAACTTTCGTTGGTAAGACGCCCACTTTCTAACTGTTCTTGCTATGTTCTGTACCTCGGCTCATATATTTGGAAGGCAATTAATGAATGAGAGAATGCCTGAATATTTTGTCTGTTTCTTTGAAAGAAATTCCTAAGCCAGTCCTCATCTCCCGCCTGGAAGGAGGTGAAGAGCCATTTTTCTGGATCTGTGAGGAAGGAGAGAGATTGGCAGGTATGTGCTTCAGTTTGTGGTGGGACCTGGTCTTGTCTGGGTATTCAGGCAGATTCCTTGATGATCTTGCTCTTTAAACTTGTCAGGGGTAATCAGTCTCGATGTCTAATGAAATCCTTGATTTTGGCTTTGAAGTCCTAACAAAATTGGCTTTTTTCCTGTTTTTTCCCCCCTCCAAGGAGGTGATCAGTACAACAGTGAAAACTATAGTGAGCCAGCAGGAACATGCAAGCAGAAAGCAGGAAAGGAGATGCTTGGAAATCCGTCAGGACAAAAGAGAGCTGAGGGAAATCAATCAAAGAATGGAAGGAAAGAATCCTCTACTTCTCTGGGTGCTGATGACCTTGAACTTCTGAACCCAGAATATCACCAAAGAAAGCAACTAAAAAAGTGTCCCGTCTTTGGGGAAATGATCAAAGATAAATCAGTACTAAATAGATACCACAGAACCCCCACGGGGGTGAAACTATATGATTGCATGAAGTGTGGGAAGAGCTTTAGAGATAGGGGAACTCTCACTAGACACTGCAAAACCCACACAGGGGAGAAACCATACAAGTGCATGGAGTGTGGAAAGAGCTTTAGAGATAGGGGTAGTCTTACTGAACACAAAAGAACTCACACAGGGGAGAGACCATATAAATGCTTGGAATGTGGGAAAAGCTTCAGTGCAAATGGAAACCTTAAAGCACATAAAAGAATCCACACGGGGGAGAAACCATATAAGTGCATGGAGTGTGGAAAGAGCTTCAGAAACAGTGGAACTCTTAGTGAGCATGAAAGAACTCACACAGGGGAGAAACCATATAAATGCTTGGTATGTGGGAAAAGCTTCAGCGTGAGTGGAAGCCTTAAAACACATGAAAGAAAGCATACGGGGGAGAAACCATACATATGTATGGAATGTGGAAAGAGCTTCCGTGACAGTGGGAATCTTGTCATACATGCAAGAACCCACACAGGAATGAGACCGTATAAGTGTGAAGAGTGTGGAAAAAGTTTTAGTGTGAATGGAAGTCTTACTAAACATAAAAGAATCCACACAGGCGAGAAACCATATAAATGTATGGCCTGTGGAAAGAGCTTCCGTGATGGTGGAACTCTTAGAAAACATGAAAGAACCCACATGAATGTATAGACTAGAAAAAGTTCAACACTGGTAGAAGCTTTTGAGGGGGATTCCCCATCTAAGAGAAAAACCATATAAATGCAGAGTTTGTGGAAATACTTCTGTTCAGAAAAGCCTTGCTTCACATCAGAGAACCCCCATAGGGAAACCAGAAAAATGCATGCTGCATTGAAAGAACTTGAGAAACAAATGTTTAATACACTTAAAAAAAAAATACATGGCAGAAAGTTATCTAAGTTACATTTCTCACACCTGGGTTAGGAGCTAGGTTGTCATCTGAAGTGATAGATATTTTCTTGTCAGAATGGACGCATCTGGTGAGGCTACTGGTTCAGTGTTAATTTATATAGTCCCATAGTATTCTTATAAGCTCTTTAATTTAGACACACACACACATGTATATGGACAGTAATATAAACAGTAAAAAGCATTAAAGAGTCCTTCAGATCTTCCTAATCTCTTTTTCATTCTTCAAGTAAAATATGGCCAGGCCACATTTTGAATCCATGGCAAAAACTCACAAATTCAGTGTTGGCAAACCTTTCCGCTCACTCCATTTGCTTGTTGAACTTCAGGTTGGCTACTAGATTTCTCTCTCTCTCATTTTGGAGCCCAGCTGACTTTCCACCCTCTCTTTCAGAGAGTTTCAAACTGGTTTTTTGCCATTTCCCTCTGAACCAGTCCTTTTGGGTATGGGGCTTCAGGAATAATTTTGATCAGACTTAGCTTTTTGTAGCTTTTAGCATGAAATAAGAAGAGTGTCTCTGTGTGTATACATATATAATTTGCCCTCCCCATCTAAGTTCTTTGGATCCTAGATTCACCTCTTAAATCTCCAAAGAATGCACAGAACCTTTCAAACTCCTGCTTACAAAGGCAGTTATAAAATTCATGTCTAACGTTTTTTAAAAAGTGACTGAATAGTGGAAATGTAGCAGGGCCACTGATCGGCTTGACCTGTTGGGAGTAATTTAGTAAATGAAATCATTACTAGTTTGTATACCATATGGCTTCTAATAGACATTTTATTCAGTGCTTCAAAATTTCCTTCTATTTCAGTATAATTATTGTGTTCTTCATATTTTGTGTCCTGTGTAATTCTTGTATCCTATTTTCCCCCCTTGCATTCAGTTTCCCTTTCCCAGGATTCCTTTTTTGTGCAACGTGCATATCACTGTTTTTGATAATATTATTATGTAGATGTGCTTCATAAACTGAAATTCACTTATCTCCTGCTATTGTAGTTTAAATACATTATTCAAGCTGATTTCAGCTTCTGGTCAGAAACCTTCCTGTGGACTGGGGCAGATTAAGGATCTGACTGTCAGATGTCACCAAGCCTAATGGTGTTTCTGCTGACCACATGCTATAGACCTGAACTTGTGTATGGGGAGTGATATTTTGAGATCTTTGGCCCAGAGTTGTGACATGCCATGCCACAGGAAGTTGCACTGTACATCTATACTGGTGTATTAGGGTGTTTTGAATTTTTCAGCTTTCCACTTCAAAAAATGAGGGATGCTAAAAAGTTGTAACATGACTTGAGAATTCAAAAGATATTTTGGTTAATTTGATATAATTTGCTTGGTAAGCAAAATGTGTAAAATTGCATAGAAATCATTAAAAATGATTGCTAAGTACTTGCTATTATTATTATTATTATTATTATTATTATTATTATTATTATTATTATTATTATTTAGCTTTGCCTGACATTTTCAGAAAGTAAAAATAAAATTATTTGGGTTTCCAACAGCAGTTTATGTGCTTCTTTACCAAACATAGACTCACCGAGCTAAATGTTGTCCAATCACAAAAAGAACAGCAGGCTTGAATTCCTTACAGCCAAAAAACATTTTTAAAAGACCCATCACTGAAGAACTGTGCAAAAATTTATTGGGACCATGCAGTGATGGCAAAAACTTAACATAATAGATCCAAAGCGCAAAATCTAAGATGGGATTTTTGCGGGGGTCAAGATTGAATATATTTATGTAGTATTGTAAGAGACAGAGATTTCTTTCCTTTGTTTGTTACGGGTTTAACATGTTTTTTTTTGGGGGGGGAGAAGGAAACTTAATAATTATTACATTATATTATATACTAATTTATAATTCTGGGTTCAGTTACCCTGAGTTGGAAAGCATAACCTCATCTGTTTGCATAAGATTTCCCATATGCTTTGTGGCTGAACTGCTCCCTGGTTTGACGGATGCATAAATTTGATGTATAAATGCATCAAAAGCAACCACAACCCTTCAAAATTTGCTTCCTCCTGGAATGAAGAACGACGCGCGCGCGCAGGGAGGAGCTGAGAGATGCAGCCCTGCGAGGGTTAAACAAACCGAGCTGTGGTTCCTAGAGAGGCAGGAAGTTTTGAAAGTGGGGGAAGACCGTCGCCGACGCACCTCCATTTGGATTGGGAGGAAAGAGGCTCGTCGTCGGGATTCCCAGGCGAGGAGCGGCGGGCAGGAGACGAAAGAGGCGACGAGGTACCACGCGGCGGGCGGCGGTGGGAGACGCGGAGCTTGCATTTGGGGGGAAGGCTGGGGAGGGGAGTCGTCTTAATGTTTGAGGCTGATGCGCCCAAATCCAGCTGCAAAAGGAGGCGCCCCGCAACAGCTGCACTTTGAAGCCTCTCCTCCCCCTTGTTCTGGGCGACCGTGGTTTTTACGCACGCGCGGGAAGGGAAAGGCCCTTGGGTGGTGGTGGGTTTGGAAACAGGGGTTTTCCCTCCACCCCCCAAGCATAATCAACATTTATAAAATGTTGTGGCTGGGGAGACCCGGCCAGATTGGGGGGGGGGATATAAGTCATTTTTTATTATTATCATTATTGTTATTACTACTGCTACTACTAAATGTTGATGCTCACAATCCCAGATACAGGTTGTGAATAGCCTCAGATTAGATACCTATTCCCTCCCCACTCCGCCTGTGCTTTTGTATAAAAAAAAGCTTACCGTATTTTTCGCTCTATAACACGCACCTGACCATAACACGCACATCGTTTTTAGAGGAGGAAAACAAGGGAAAAAACATTCTGAATGAAACAGTGGATGTATCATTTTTGTGCTTCATGCTGTGGCCACAGACATGTGATCTGATGGTGAATTTGGGGTGACCCAATGCAAAAATCCTGAGAATTCCTGTGTATCCATGCTTTGTAACCACGTTTTTGCACCATTGCAGCCTCAGGCAACAGTGGGTGCGTGATTTTTTTGGTGCAGGCTGTAGCCATGGACATGCTATGTGATCTGATGGTGAATTTGGGGTGACCCAATGCAAAGATCCTGAGGATCCATGTGGATCCATGCTTTTTAACCACGTTTTTGCACCATTGCAGCCCCAGGCAACAGTGGGTGCGTGATTTTTTTGGTGCAGGCTGTAGCCATGGACATGCTATGTGATCTGATGGTGAATTTGGGGTGACCCAATGCAAAGATCCTGTGGATCCATGCTTTTTAACCACGTTTTTGCACCATTGCAGCCCCAGGCAACAGTGGGTGCGTGATTTTTTTGGTGCAGGCTGTAGCCATGGACATGCTATGTGATCTGATGGTGAATTTGGGGTGACCCAATGCAAAGATCATGAGGATCCATGTGGATCCATGCTTTTTAACCACGTTTTTGCACTATTGCAGCCCCAGGCAACAGTGGGTGCATGATTTTGGGGGGGCAGGCTGTAGCCATGGACATGCTATGTGATCTGATGGTGAATTTGGGGTGACTCAATGCAAAGATCCTGAGGATCCATGTGGATCTATGCTTTGTAACCACATTTTAAGTGGGGAGCGAAGGAAAAACAAAGAAGGGACATGAGAGGGGTGTGCAGAGAAGCAGCTGGCTAAGAATGCAGGAAAGGGATTTAACGGGAGGGAGGAAAGAAAGGCAAAAGTTTCCCCCCACCCAAGCCAGCCATCTCTCTCTCTCTCTCTCCCTCCCTCTCTCTCTCTCTCCCCCCTCTCTCTCTCCCTCCCCCCCCCCTCTCTCCCTCTCCCCCAGCAGTACCTGAGCACAGAGACGGAGCACAGAGATGACACTTTCCCCTCTGCTTGCCTGGAGGGGAGGGGCTTTCCCTGCTCTTTGTTCCGTTTCAGCAAACACAGCAACGAAACAGAGGAGGGTGGGCAGTAAGACCCTGAGGCAGAATGCAGGAAAGCAGCCACTTCCTCTTTTCAGGTTTCCCTTCTCCGTGAAGCGCGGTTTGATTTTTGCCTGATTTTTCTGCTCCAGGGACCACACATTCGCTCTATAACACGCACAGACATTTCCCCTTCCTTTTTAGAAGAAAAAATCTGCGTGTTATAGAGGGAAAAATACGGTATGTTCCTTTGCACGTTGGAAAGTTTTCAGTGTTTGCCTCTAGGCTTGAGGGAATGAGAAGGCTTTGTAGAAACAGGATTGGATAGAATACGACATCAATATGTTTGGATTGATTGAGGGTGTGTGTGTGTGTGAGAGAGAGAGAGAGAGAGAGAGAGAGAGAGAGAGACAAGAGAGTCCCACGCAGGACAATATGGAATAAATTTAAAGGAGGGCGAAGTGAAATTCATTTTAATTATGTGACAAGCCGGGAAACCAAAGGGTGAAAGTCTTGCCCTCACCGTTCAGCTGAAATGTGAATAACTCCACTTCTCAGTTGCCCCCAGATTGGGACTTTCCTTCCAGCCGTGTCCCAGAGATGGCCTGGTTTACCTCTTCTTTCTCTCCCTCTCCCCCCATGACAGAACAATGGCATCAGAGGCCCAATCTGGATCATCGCTTCTTGGAGCTGGAGTGGAAACTTCTGCCATGGACCCATCTCAGGTAAGAGGCAGGCTCCTTGTGGAGACAGGCAGGGCACAGCCTGGGTGCCTACCTCTGTGTTGGGCTGCGAGGTTCGCAGGAAACATGCGCTGCCCCTTCTCTGTTGCTGCTACAAAATGTCTAGGTGACCCAACTTAAGTTATGAACTCTGCAGTGTCTCTTGTGTGATGTCTACAGTCCTGCAGAAAAAAAGTAAAGCTTTCCTAGCTGGATTTTGCAAAGCTCTCTGCCATCGGTGTCCACTTTGCATTACGTTTTGTACAACATCTCAGGATGTACAGTGGTACCTTGGTTCTCAAACTTCATCCGTTCCAGAAGTCCGTTCCAAAACCAAAGCGTTCCAAAACCAAGGCGCACTTTCCCACAGAAAGTAATGCAAAATGGATTAATCCTTTCCAAACTTTTAAAAACAACCCCTAAAACAGCAATTTAACAAGAATTTTACTATATAATGAGACCATTGATCCATAAAATGAAAGCAATAATCAATGTACTGTACTATCAAATAAATAAGATTGTAGATGATAACATTTAAATCATTTTTTTTTCTTACCTGCACTGTTGATAGTCATTGTTTTGATGGGGGGCTTTTATTTCCACAGTCACACAATCAGTCAATCAGTCAGTAGCTGAACTGGGTTCCACACAGTCACAACAACAAATTAACCAAAAAAGCCTCAAAAACAAAAACGCAAAATATATAGCTAAAACAAAAGCACCAAATTTAATCCATTCCAGAAGTCTGTTTCACTTCTGAAATGTTCTAAAACAAAGGCGCAGCTTCTGATTGGTGCAGGCACCTCGGAAACAATAGCTGATAGCCGCATTGGACGTTCAGCTTCCGAAAAACGTTCAAAACCCGAAACACTTACTTCCGGGTTTTCAGCGTTTGAGAACCAAGGTACCACTGTATGTAGAAAGTGATTAATAAATAATGTTATTAATAATAGCAAAAGCAATAAAGCTACCAGGTTAATGAATTTGCTGAATCAATTTTCAAAAAGGGATACAAAAAAGGGAGGCGTGAGGAAGCCAGGAAAATAAGTTAATCAAAGATGAGAAATTAAAAAAGAGGGATTTGTGTTTTTCTTTTTTGTGCGCTCAATTGTTTTTTCTGTTTTCTTTTCTTTTTTCTTTGTTAGGTTAAATGTTTGTATTTTTGTATTGTCTAATTTTGTATTGTGTTTTATATTTTTCTGGTGTTTTTATTGTTCTTTGTTTGTTGTTTTGGAATTTCCTTATTGTTAAAACTTAATAAAATATTATTATAAAAAAGAAAAAGCTACCAGGTTAGTCCTTTTATTTTCACGCTGGGAGCCTGTCAGATATACGTTTATTCTTTTATCTACATAAGAGTTCATTTCTGAGTAGAGAAACCTGTCTTCCTTTCAGCGGCTGGTGTCCTTTGAGGAGGTGGCCGTGTATTTCAGCAAGGGGGAGTGGGATCTCCTGGGCCCCTGCCAGAGAGCTCTCTACAAGGAAGTGATGCTGGAAAATTACGCAAATGTAATGTTTCTGGGTAAGGATGTCTTGTCCCTTGGTTGACAAATCCTATTGCTAATGCATCTTACATAGCTTTGGATCTAAGATAAATACTGTTACAGACTGACTTAACTCTGAGGCAGAGAACAGCGCAGCAGAACAGACCTGCTGCTCTAACTGTTAGGACGGTTCATAACTGTACCAACTGCCATAACTGCCTCAGGCACATGACGTCACAGGGCTCTGAAGACCTTGTGAGCATTAACCCTTTCCTTAGCCTTTGGGATGCTTTCATTTCACAGTCTTCATGTATCGCTTTGGGGGCTTCCCAGAGGCAGTTCGTAGGCCACGGAGGGAATGCTGGACACCGTGTTGAGAGGTGCCCAATATTTGAAGTTGGTGCTGCTGCTACGTTATCAATGAACTGGACTTAATGAACAGTTGCCTCTGTCATACTCAACAAGAAGGCGATGCAATGGACTAATCCCCCGCTACATTTGGGAGAGGGTCAGAGCAGTGGGTGAATTTGAAATGCCTTGTTTCTTTTAAAGAAATTCCCAAATCAGACCTCTGGCTAGAGAAAGGGGAAGATCCGCTTCTGAGGGACTGTGAGGAAGCAGAAAGATTGACTCTGTGATGGGTCAGTTCTTGTCTGGGTGTTCAGGGCATTTCTTAATTCTGTGTTTAAACTCCTGGTAGACATAACTTGTGGCTTCCCCCACTGATGTAGATTTGACACTCACTAAGTCTCCCTTAGTTAAAACTAGGGAACCATTGGCTCTCTAGATCAGGCATAGGCAAACTCGGCCCTCCAGATGTTTTGGGACTACAACTCCCATCATCCCTGACCACTGGTCCTGTTAGCTAGGAATGATGGGAGTTGTAGTCCCAAAATATCTGGAGGGCCAAGTTTGCCTATGCCTGCTCTAGATGTTGCAGAACTACAACTCCCATCAGCCCCAGCAAGCATGTCCAGTGGCTTGGGCCTGATGAAGCAAGGCTTCCTTTATGTTCTGCTCACCTTCCTAATGGGACAGTCTGTTTCCCCTCTCTCTTTCAGTGTTTAGGTTCCATTTCCCCATTAGATCTCAGATTCCAGGGTTGAGTATTTGACACACACACAACCTTTTGAATTTCCTTGTCAGAGCAGCTAGCAAAAGCAGAGAACTGTTTTGCAAACAAAGGCACATCCCTTCACACCCCACCTTAAAACAGAGGTGAAGACCCTCTGGCACGCAGGCCTAATTAGGCCAGCAAGACCTCCCCATATGGCCCCCATATGGTCTGCTTGGGTTAAACCATGCCCACCTTCCCTGCACCTGACAATCAGCTGACGGGTGGCGCCTCCAAAGTGCTGTGTGTAGGGGTTATTGTGATGTCAGGTGATTGACAAGTGAATGGCCCAATCCACCTGTCAAAGTTGACCCATTGGGAGTAGGAGAGGTAAGTATTGGGGACCACTTCCCTATCCCTTCAGTGATAACCATTTTTATTTGCTCGTCTCATTCCCCTTTTGCTGCACCGGAATATCCCCAGTCTGCTTTGGACTATGTAACTGTGTTCTTTCTCACAATCTACTTTTTAAAAAATTACGCCCATTTAATAAATCCATAGAACAGTTATCTTTTTTTCAGTTTGGTGTGTCCCTTCTCCTAGCCTTCTTGCAGTTTCATACCTCCCCCCCCCCACTTTACATAACCTTGTGGAACCCCATTTCATTGTTATATCAGAGGAGGGGGCGTAATCCACACATGCACACACTTCTGTGTCTTGTTTAATCAATGGGAAATAAATAAGAAAGGCATTAATGCTGTTGAGTAACAGATTCAAAAGGTGACATAGGTTTCGGCAGGGTGTCCAGAGAGGGGATGGGACAACCTAGGAAATCAGAAAAAAAGAAAAGGGTAATTGGGCTTGATAACTCATGATGCTTTTAGCATTGAAGTCCTAACAGGAAATATGTGTTTTCCTTTTATCTCCAAATAGCTAATCAGCGGGACAAGAGTTCTAGTGAGCCACTGGAAACAGGCCAGCATAAAGCAGAAGAAGAGATGTTTGGACATCAAAGGAGGGGAAATAGGCTAGAAGGATACCGATTGAAGAAGGGGAGGAAGAATTTTTCTATTTCTCAAGGTGCAGATGAAGTCCCAAACCCAGAAGGCCACAAAAGAAATCAACTGAAAAAGTGGATAGTGTATGGGGAAATATGCAAAGATAAATCTGTATTAAATAGACATTTCAGAACCCGCACAGGGCAGATCCTATATAAATGCACAGAATGTGGGAAGAGCTTCAACAAGAGAGGAAACTTCATTGTACATCAAAGAACCCACACAGGGGAGAAACCTTTTAAATGCATGGAGTGTGGGAAAAACCTCAGTGATAGGAGAAGTCTCATTGTACATCAAAGAATCCACACAGGAGAGAAACCGTATGAATGCCTGGAGTGTGGAAAGAGCTTCAGTGATAGAAGAAGTCTTTTTGTACATCAGAGAACCCACACAGGGGAGAAACCATATAAGTGCATGGAGTGTGGAAAGAGCTTCACTGTGCATCGTAGCCTTACTTCACATCAAAGAACCCACACAGGGGAGAAACCATATCAGTGTATGGAGTGTGGACACAGTTTTATTGACAGAGGTTATCTTGCTAGGCATCAAAGAAGACACACAGGAGAGAAACCATATAAATGTATGGAATGTGGAAAGAGCTTCATTGAAAGGGGACATCTTGCAAGGCATCAAAGAAATCACACGGGAGAGAAACCATATCAGTGCATGGAGTGTGGAAAAAGCTTCAGTGATTCACGAGCTTGTTCTAAACATCAAAGAACCCACACAGGGGAGAAGCCATATCAATGCAAGGAGTGTGGAAAAAGCTTTACTCATAATGGGAGCCTTAATGTACATTTGAGAACCCACACAGGGGAGAAACCATATGAATGTGTGGTATGTAGAAAGACCTTCACTCAGAGAGATCACCTTATTTCACATCAGAGAACCCACACAGGAGAGAAACCCTATAAATGCTTGTTGTGTGGAAATACCTTCACTCAGAGGAGTAACCTTATTTCACATCAAAGAACACACACAGGGGAGAAACCATATCAATGCATGGAGTGTGGAAAGAGCTTCAGTGATAGGAGAAGTCTTACTGTGCATCAAAACACCCACACAGGGCAAAAACCACATGAATGCACGGAGTGTGAAAAGAGCTTCAGTGATAGGAGAAGCCTTATTGTACATCAAAAAACTCATACAGGGGGAAAACCATATAAATGTATGGAGTGTGGAAAAGGTTTTTGTGAAAGAGTGTATCTTGTTAGACATGAAAGAAGGCACACAGGAGAGAAGCCGTATGAATGCTTGGTGTGCGCAAAGACCTTCACACAGAAAGGTCACCTTATTTCACACCAGAGAACCCACACAGGAGAGAAACCCTATAAATGTTTGGTGTGTGGAAAGGCCTTCACTCAGAGAAGTAACCTTATTTCACATCAAAGAATACACATAAGTGAGAAACCATAAAAATGCATGGAATGTCAGAACTCCAGCAAAAACAGAAAGCTTACTATAATTCACAGAACCCACATAAGGAGGGAGAAACTTGCCCTAGTGCCATTTTTCTTACCCAACTTAGCTAGCACTCAGTCAGGATCAGGGGTATAGCTGGTATAAAAGCAGAATCCACAGCACTGATTCCGGAAAGGCACTGATGCCATGGAAGACCAATTAGTACCAGGAACTGGAAGAGAACCTGAAACTTCACCAAAAGTTCCCAATAGCATTGAAGGAATTGGACATTTTTTTAAAAAATAAATAAATCTTGTATACAGTTCAATTTGGGAATTTGGAGTTGTGTCCATCACTGCTCATGCAATGAGACCTCGCCTTCCTCTCCCCAACTGCTCCTAACATCTATTGTGGAAGCTCCCTCAATCCTTTGGAGCAAATTTTGAGAGAGCCCGGGGCAGAGATCTGAAGTCCCAGAAAAGAACTTAGAAATTGGGGGAACATGACATAGGTTTTTTTCCTTATTTTTTCCTGGTTTTCCCCAATATTTTGGAAACAAATGTCGGGGTGGGGGGAGGGCAGATTCCAGAGTTTATCCAGGCCTTCACATCTCTAGCCTGGGAGTGGGGCGGAAGGGGAAGGGAGAGGGGAGTTCTGTTGCTTAAGTGGAACAGCAGCCTTGGGTTGTTAATTTGCTTCCTGGAGTGGAAGGGTCGTAGTTCAGTGGAATAGCACCTTGCAAGCAGAAGGAACACCCTTCCTTCAGATATGAAGGAAATAAGCAGCTATCCTATCTTTAAAAGACATCTGAAGGCAGCCCTGTTCAGGGAAGTTTTTAATATTTAATGCTGTATTGTTTTTAACACTCGATTGGGAGCCACCCAGAGTGACTGGGGAAACTCAGCCAGATGGGCGGGGTATAAATAATAAATTATTATTATTATTATTATTATTAAAGGACAAAGGTTCAATCCCTAACATCTCAAGGGAGGGTCAGGAGAGATTCTTGCCCGAAATCCCAGAGAGCAGCTGTCAGTAACTTTAGGCAATACTGAGATAGATGGACCAAGAGTCTGACTCTGTGGACACGTCAAGAGGTGTTAAAATGATGAAGTAAAGTGGATTGCAGGCAAAAGTGATTTTGTGTGTGTGTGTGTGGATTAGAGACTTTAAAAGACAGCTTGGGGATACAGATTCCATGCTGCAGGTGGAATTCAAGCCTTGCACTTGAAGAAATGGGAGAGCTACTAACCAGTTTAGAGAGATGTGGGCTAGCTAAGTGTATTTATCCGGTTTCATTTTCAGTACCCTTTTGCTTCTTTGAGATAGTTTTGTATGCACGTAACAATTTAGATGTTAAAACCTCTTTCTGAAGAGGAGTCTCCTTTTTTTCGTTTTTTAAAGCAAATGCTTAAACGTGGTCCATGAAGCCTAGCAGTTTCCTTGCCTGCCATTTTGCTCACCCCATGCTTAAAAGTTAAAACCCTCCCCTATGTAAAGGCTGTTTGGTGGAGAGGCATCATAGAATATTAAAGACTTCTACCTGGCAGCAGTGGAAAGGTCCCAAGAAAGGAGGGCCTCCCTTTCTCTCACTGGCCAGGTTGTAACTGGGCCCTGTGACAAGGGCTGCAGAATGAAAACTTATAGGCCAGGGGAGGCTTAAACTTCTACAGCCAGCTGCTTCAGAATGTCTCCACCCTCATCTTTCAGCCCGGATACTGAGGTCCAGCTCCGAGGACCTTCTGGCGGTTCACTTCCTGCAAGATATGAGGTTACAGGGAAGCAGGCAGAGGGCCTTCTCGGTGGTGGAACCCCCTCCCATCAGATGTCAAACAGATAAAGGACATCTGAAGGCAACCCTGTTTAGGGAAGTTTTTAATGTTTGATATTTAATCACTTTTTTATTTTGTTGGAAACCCAGCCAGATGGGCGGGGCATAATTAATAAATTCTATATTATAACCTTGCAGGGTTTCAAAGTACACAAGGGACCCCCTTTGGCTTCAGACCAGACCTGATTGGGAAGCTTTCTTACAGCTACACTTCCACTCTTATTAATTATTATTATTATTATTTATACCTCACCCTCCCCAGCCAAGGCCGGGCTCAGGGCGGCTAACAAGCAATAATAAAAACAAGTTGAATGAATACAACTTAAAAACAAGATTATAATACAACATAAAATATTAAAAATGCAGCCTCATCACAGGACGAGAAAGGAAAAAGAAAAGAGAGGGGGAGGGAATCAAATTGGCTCCAAGCCAAAGGCCAGGCGGAACAGCTCTGTCTTACAGGCCCTGCGGAAAGAAATCGGATCCTGCAGGGCCCTGGTTTCATGAGACAGAGTGTTCCACCAGGTCGGAGCCAGTGTTGAAAAGGCCCTGGCTCTGGTTGAAGCTAATCTAACTTCCTTTGGGCCCGGGACTTGCTATTTATGGACCTTGAGGCTCTCCGTGGGGCATACCAGGAGAGGCGGTCCCGTAGGTACGAGGGTCCTAGGCCGTGAAGGGCTTTAAAG